TATGCTTATATTGCCTACCAGATATTTCAAATCAATTATAACCTACAAAGGCTGATGTAATGGTGAGAGATTTGAAAAACAAACCAAAAGCCAACAGCCCCTTCCTGGCACTGAAGGCATAGAAAGCGCATTCCTGGGAAACAATTGCCCGTGACTCTGACATGCAGAGCACTGGTAGAAGACCAGCACTCCCTGAACACTCACATCAATAGACAAAGCTTTCTTACTGCTTCGCATTTTGAGGAAAAATGACATGTATCCATAGTGGGTGGCTCACTGTTTCATGCTGAAATATCTCCTACCCTGAAAGGACTGATAAAGCTTATCATGACCCTTGCATATACCAACATTTTCTTGAACTGTTGGAAAATCAGAGTAAGCTAATCTCAGTGTTATCTGCCAGATCTCCAGCCCTGCACTGTGTGTGTGTCATGGCATACCAGGAGTATCTTCTACTACAAGCCAAGACCAGAAGTGAAGCATCCACTTCACTTGAAAGAACGGATAAACCAAGCATAACAGTCCACTTTTATTTTCTGCTAATACATTTTGTTACTATTTTGTGTCTAAAAACACACCATCAATTTTTGGAGGAAAAAAAAGATAAATTTGGCTGTAGATAATCCATGCCATGAAAAGCTCCCACAAATGCTTAAGTAGCTATGTTACAACAAATGAATGTTCCTTTTGCATGATAGCTCAATCATTCATAGATGTGGTTACACCATCCTGCATGGTATTTAAATAAGCAAGCTTGGTATTCAGCAAATTATTGCCAACTCCCCCAGCACTCTGTGTTTTCTGGGCTTAATAGGAAACCTGCCTGAAGTCTGAACTCACCATTTCTATTAGCTTGTGTGAAGGCAGAAAGTCTTGTCCTGTGTAGGCGTGATACACAGCATTAGCACTGATGGCAGAAATTAATCATATTGCCTGAGGTTGGCTGACTCTTGGTGATGATACAGTTGACCACTTGGCAACATTTTCAACATGCTTTGTGCCCTCAAACTAAACAGACTAACCTGTGAAAAGCTGGTAAGCCCAATATATGGAAACAGCTCCCAAAAAGCTGATGTAGTAGCTTTTCAGTAGACATATTCACAGCCCCAGCTGCGGCTAAGCTTTGACACTGGGCTGAATGTTGTTTTTTTTAAACTCAGAAAGCTTGATGCTTTTCCACATCCAGGTTAAGTTATCAATCAATGTTCCCCACACAGTTTATTTCTGATCCTGTGCCACTCACTCCCATGCTTACCCTGGATAAGCATTAAGAAACTGAGCCAGGTTAAAACTAACCAATTTTGCCAAAAAAATAATCTTCACTATAGGTCAGTACCCAATACAGTCAGCTGTGCAGCCAAATATGCATCAGTGCTAGCACAGACTGTGAGAGTAAGTAAATGGGACCAGTCCCAATCAGTTTTAACAGTATGCCTTTGAAGTACTTCTACTAATCATTGGCAGAGTCAGGACATGATTTTCAATACGCTTTAATGTCACAGTCACTGTATATGGATCTACAGTCAGGACTACATAATTATTCTTCAGGATGATAAATACAATTAAATATCTGTCAATTTATTTATCGAGTAGTGCACATTTTAAAATAATTTATTGCCGATTTAATAATGCCAAGTGATGAGGTGCACATGTATGAGCACTTTGCTTCATGCCATGAATACAGTGGAAGTAAATGGGTTTTCTTCTTCTGAAATACTGAAGAGCATATGCAATTCTTCTCCATTACATAAACTTTTAAAATTTACCTATTGCTACTTCGATGCACAGATTTTTGCCAGCAGGAAATAGGTAAATTTTCATTGCGTCTCATTCTGGGGAATCTTGCTCACTGCTTGGCAATTCCCTCAGTATCTCTAAGCTTCCCAGTGGCACACATTGCATGTGCCATCAGTCTTATGCAGGTGAACTTCTTCAGAAGTAAGGTAGGGCTGTGCTGATTATCTTTTTTACATCTTACTGTTAGTAAAGAGTTTTATAGGGAAGTTGTAGCCTGTGGCTGCAACCAGCATGTTTTTACAGACTTCATACAAAAGAGGCCTCAAACTCTCATCTCAAATACTAAGCCTGTAATGCCCATTGCTCTGAAAGTGTTTTGTGTCCTGATGTAACTGTTAGAACTCATGGAATTGCGTTACACCACTAAATCTGCAATTTAGTCCAGATTTCATCATTCTATCCTGTTAACAACTGTTTTTAAGGAATAAGAAAATGTTAAAGAATAATGCATAATATAACAGTAATATGCCTAATTGTGTGTAGTCTTCTGTCATTAGCTGTGATAATAGGAAAAGTTATATGGAATAAGGAATGGGAATTTTACTGTTGAAATTCAGATAAATGTAGTATTCCTAAACTGCAAAATCCAGGATTACAATGTGTGAAATCTTTACCAAAAGCTTTTGATCTGTGGGAATGTGTACTACCCAGGCCTCTTCCATTAAACTGTTTTTACAAATATAAAAACCTAATAAACTTTCTTTGGTAAACCCTTTACTAGTTTCAGAAGGGGACATAGTACGACTTTATTTTTTTAAGGCATATAAAGAGAGAAAGTACAGTCAACTCATGAAACCTTTTGAGTGGCATGCATAGAGATCTTCATAGAAGATGGACATCAGGAAATACAATAAAGTGTTGAAGTTCTATAGAATCCTTATGAAATGCAAAATCACTCCATTCTGTAGGAAGGGGCCCTATTCACATGCATACACACAAAACAGGAATAGCTTTAAAAATTAGACTTTGAAAATCAATATTGTATTTAATTGACTCCCCCTCAACCCCAAAGCAAAAAGAATACTGAAATCAGAGTAATTGTGTTGTGATGAAACATGTATTGTACTTGGTAAGAATGTGTCATTATGTAGACAGGGCAAGATTTCCTAACAATTTAACTTTCTGGATCTGAAAGGTGGGGGGTTTTTTGGTATATCAAATCATGGCAGAGTACAGTGCAACTTGGGACCAAGACTGTGTTCAGATACTTGGTTGCTGATGCAGCACCTTCTCACTTAAAAAATTAAAAAAGGCACAGAAGGGATGAATTGACTCATACAACTGCTTTAGGCAGCTAAACAGACTAAAGACTAAAGTGTAAACAGGCTCGTCTTTAAGAGGTCAAAACCCTTTATTTTTAGAGATTGTTATATTAAAACATCTGTTCTTCAAGACACACCTTAGTAGACAGTACTAAGCTTCTATAACCTTAACAATTAAAGAAAAGAACCCTCTAGTTGATTGATATCTCATGGCTTTATCTTGATCTTTCTTTTCCTTTAGAACTATCTTTTCTCCTAAACTGGCAATTTCAAGAACTTGCCATGAGCTAAAGAATTCGTTATAAGTCTTTAAAACTATTTAGCATGAAGTTTAAAGTAGTAAATTAGTGCTTAAGGAATTAACTCTAAGAGTGTCAAATATAAAAATTAATTGAACCAAATACAGAGTAGACAATATTGTGCCTTGCAGGTACAATTTAATGTAGATGTACACATTATGATGATTAGTTGTACAATTAAGTCTGCTACTGATCACCACAGTAATCTGCATCACAGTTAAGAAAGTGACACACATATCAGTTGAAGTTAAAAGGAAAGAAATCCTGTATATAAAGGTTTCCAGTGTATTTTTTAAGAAACTTCCCTTAAAGATCCTTGCAGAAGCCTATGGTATACACACTGAACCAATGCAATAAAACTGCCAATAAAATTATGGTTTAATCCACATGGCAACAAAAGGGCCAAGTGGCACGAAAAAAAAATCAAGCCTGCAAATTACATACTGACACTGAATAGGTTACTCTTCAGAGAACTTTCACTACAAATTTGTCCATAGGTTGTAAGTGTTTTTCTAATGCAAATGTAACATGAAAAAGAAAAAGGGTAGGCCACCAACTGAAAGAAAACATTTATTGAATCAAAGTCAATACTTTCCTTTTAATATCTACAAGCCAACACTGAACTGACTTTATTCAAGAATGAACACAATGTACAAAAAAAGTATGTCTGTTATAAAAATATGTCAAATTTTTTTTCCTGGCTATTGAGCTGAAAACATTTTGACAAGTGCAAGATAGGTTTGGCAAGCAAATTTAAGCCACTATTACCAATGATAAAGTTAAATAATTTTGTAATCATAGTATATTTAAGACTCATTAATAAAGTGGCATTGGAAATGTTGACCCCTAAAAAAAATATATATATCACTGCACTGCCATGTGTTTATGCACCCAGACAATTGAACATCTTTATCTTCTGTTGTCACAAATCAGTACCTTTCTCAGTGAAGACTATTCAACCTAATTTGAACTATTCAACCACTTAATTGACACCTACCACTGGAATACAACTTAGGGAAGGCAAACTACCTCCATGGCCCTATATTTTGTGTGTTGTTCGCAAACTGAGAGAAGAGTGGGTAGGTTCATACGTGTTTAAATCAACGTGATAGCTGCTGTAATGTGAAATCAGGCAAAGGATGGAAAGAGAATACAGAATCATTTGTGACAGTAATCTATATTTATGAACACGTATCTGTTTATGTATAAAAATGGATCTGACTAGGCTCAGTTATGCCTTATTTGTTCGGAGGTTTTTTTCTCCACACAAAAATTTAACTCAAGCAGGACTCAAATCATTGAATTCTCCCAAACACCACCAAGGAGGAAAAAAATGGACCATCTACAGATATAATCTGAAAACAGTGCAATATTAAAATATAATTTCACAACGTGTGAAAGAACCATGCTTTGGAACCTGAGCAAAAGGCATTTTACAAGTCAATAAAAAGTCACCCTGTATGTTGTTTTCATTGGCATCTGTTCATCTGCCAGATTAGTATGTTGCTCTTAGCAACTTCCATGGCCCCTAAATATTTAGTACACAGAAACCGCCAACTAGAGAGGTCTACTAAACTTTTCATCTAATATTGCAGGCAGTCTGACATGCTGCTACTGGAAATGACCGTACAGCCTAAAACTAAGAAAAACTGTAGAAAGAAAAAGAAGCAGCCAAACACGATGCTTTTCTTTTTTACATAGACTAAAGCGCTTCCACAACACTTTGATACGGTACTACACTGGTTTACAGTCTCAAGGTCATCTCTTTCAAAATAAATATACTGAACATTTACAACAAATGCCTCATGAATGCAAGCTCTCTCTTTATTATTTCAAGACCACTTGGATAAAAACTAAAGACATAACTCTGAAGCAGCTAAGTTACAAGTCCTTTTTCAGAAACAGGCATGACTTGGTGCCACAGCAAAATTTTTCACCTGTCTGCAGTAAGCATTTTTTTTTTCTTCTAGCACCAAGCAGGCCACCATACAAAGAAACCTCACAAAGCATGCGTTCATCTACTCTGCTGATTTTGTATGAAATAATTTTGTGCTTGCAGGTCCCAGACCTTTCAAAAATGGGTGTGAACAATAGATGATTGAAGACACTAATGGAAACTCACTCATTTCTAAATTACTCGAGTGCAGAAAAGATTTAAAGACAAAACAGCAACAGAATGTTGCACATTAGTATTTGTGAGGGATGAAGGAAGCTAAAGTTGTTGCTTTAATTCACCTTGAAACAAACAAAAAGCAAAAAACAATCCTAAACAGTTCTATGTCCATGATACTGGTAGAGGCCAATGTGTGCATGCCACTGAAAGGCACAGTCAGACCAATCTGATAAATAGCATCATCAGAGCAGAACAGCAACTTCTCACTGGAGTAATCACAAAGGGTGAACAATGAGCCATCACTTCTCTCATCATGAGCACAGAAAGCAGTCACCAAGGCAAAAAACGGACACAGGAAAGAAGATACAGGAACTCACATAGACCTGGAAGACAGAAAACACACATAAAACTGAGTTTTAAACATTCTGAGTGACCATTTTCCTACTGTAACATTGCTATTAATTGATTTAACACCATACATATTATGCTTAAATGGACAGATCTGTTACAAAAATGGTACCCTAATCATATCACAAAATTCTTCTGAAATTTGTTATACAACTAACTTCACTTGCAAAGATCTGCCTACAATATCATCTTAGGTGTAAAACAGGCTTAAAGATAGACTGATGTAGTCAGGACAATCTATTGTTCCTTGTATAAAAAAAATTAACACACTTGCTTACATGATACTGAATTTTTTACTCAGAAATGCATTTTAAAATTGGGCATCATGAAGACACAGCTATTTATAGGGAGCTAATTATAAAGTAGTATGATTGTTCTTCCTACTATTCTAACAGTGCCTAAAAAGCAGAGTGCAATACTTACTGGAAAGGTTTCCCCAAGTTTTATCCTGCCTTTGTATCTACAAGCTGCATCTGAACATTTGCAGACATGCCACCTCCATAGCCTCCCTTGGACTGCATTTGGTTCTGAATTGAGCTGACCTGGAGACAAAAGGGAAAGGGGGGCAGAGAAAACAAGAGAGGCAGTTAGTGAGCTATGGCGTCTTCTTGTGTCCAATTTTGTTTCTTGTTTAGGTTTGGTTTTCAACTGCTCCTTTACCATTAAAGCTACATTACTTTTGCATGAGGACATGTGCAGCGTAGGCTTGCTGGAATTTTCACTTCTGCAGGCAGCTCAGCAGGAGTGATGGAAGAACTGGTGCTGAGGCAGAAGTTTTTCCTCTCTCCCAAAGACAACTGGCTGATTCAGGCTTTCACTGACCGCTTGATAACTCAAAAAAATTTAATCAAATCTCTTACTGGTATCCAACTTCACTCCATCTGACAAGCTATAATTTATCTTGTTATATGGAACATGTTTTTTGCCAAGTATGATAAACCAGAGAAGTTAACACCATTACATTAAAAATATAATTGACAACTTAAAAAATATCTGGGTAGTATATGCACTGAATGGCTAACTTCAGATAACTAAAAAAGGACTTTCTAAACAAAAAATGAGCTTTTGGTTTGTCGAAGGTGTTTTATTTATATATTTATGTAACAGCATACACTGCTTTCCTTCATTGCTACTATTCTCTTAAATGGCAGGGCATTCATTGTTTAAATCATACTCAATGTATCAATTTCCCTGGAAATAGCTTATTCGAAGGTATTTTTAGCCTGATGGAAATAAACACATCAAGAACACCCCCTCCCCCCACAAAGATGCACATTTCTCTATGGCTTTCATTGCTTTTATCAACAAAAAGGGGGAATCCATAGTTCTTTCCTGCTCGTGTTTTATGAGTCAAAAAAATAATCTCCAAGTGCCTGCAGGAAGAGTAAGAGAGCGCCAACCATTAAGGTTTGCCCTTTTTCTCTCTGCATGCCAGAGCATACATAACAAGTACACAATGAGCACCAAATAACATACTCATTCAAGGCTACAGCTTCTGAACTTGAACTTGCAGCAAAGCCTATGCCTGCAAGGTACCACTTGCAATTATTACATGTATGCTCCTTCACAGAGACCTCAAAACATCACTAAAAGCTGTATTAAAACAGCACTAGAGAAATATTTCCAAGTAGCTTGCATGATATTTTACCTGTCCAGAAAGACAAAAGTATGTTCCTTTCCACAGCAAAGCAAAACACATGCACACATGCAAAATGAATCAGCACAACTGCCTCTTACACAGTTTCTCAAACCAGGGTGAAGAGAAGACCCTGCTTTGGGATCTTTGTCTTTCACAGTATTAGGGCATATTGCAGCACCATGCAAAAGATCTGATTTTTATGTATTTAAAGCAGTGCGATGTAAAACCATTTTCTACGGTTTTTATTATGGTTCTGTATCATATTGACTCTTTGCTCAAGTGAATGATACAGCTGCAGCAAAGCTATGTTATCTTCGCCTTTTTTCTTCAGGAAAAAGTGTTCAGAGCCAGTATTCTAGTGGGTCTGACATCAGATTACAAACTCAGTAAGGAAGTGTGAAGTGCAACCACATTCATGGGGTGGTGTTTAAAAACTTTCACATTTCACCAAGCTAGTCATCTTCTTTACCAAGCATCTTCTGTTGCTCATTGGAACAAAAGGAGTTTGAATTTAATCTTTTTCTCCTCAGAAGATAATTAACCTGCATGTAAATATATTCACAAGAATGACCTGAGGATGGCATTAATTTCATCTGAATGAAGCCTGCCCCTAGTGAAAAAAGCTAGAAAAACATCTCCAGGCCATATCACATTCCAGCCTGACAATTTGCCTACATGACTTCAAAATTTTGGAGATCAGAAAATCTACACAAATTGCAATGCTAAAGTGTAAATTTTTATACATACGTCTTCTAAAGGTTAGAATAAATTCTCTGGTACTTGAGTCACACATGCAGATGTTGCTGTTAGTGGGTAAGGAAGTTAGTGGTTAACTGTATTAATAGTTCAGTGGCTATTTTGTATATGAAAATTTCTGGAGGAGACATAACAATGTTAGACACAATGAGCAAAAAGCAGGTCGAACTGTAGGCTTATATGGTGGTATTTTTTCTGAAGTATCCTCCAATTTAGGCAGTCTTAGCTACGAGAACAAGCACCATGAAATGCAATTATTTTTTTCTTTCACAAAGATTGCTTTCCTTTGATGATATGTAACAGCAAGGTTCTTCTCTCTTATGTCTAATTTAGATAGGATAAGGTTTTAAAGATTTTGGAAGGAGAAGAGGATTGCACCAATTAAAGATTGTACAATGTGTTGTGCTGCTTATCTATCTCATTAATTTTCTTTTTTCCTTTTCTTTCCCTCCCTTTTAGAATTAGGAAATAGCATGGATGGTTCTTGAAGAAAGAAAACAAGAGAGAACTAAGAAAGAGACAGAGCACATGAAATCAAAGACTAAACTGAGGAACATGAAGCAGAATAAAGTAAGAGATTTCACCACAGAGTACGAAGGTAAAATAAGAAAGAAAGTGATGGGAATGAGACAGGAACAGTACACAGAGGGCTCCTACTGTTTAAGTGTACCTTTAACAAAGGAGCAAATGCTCTACAGAGGAGGCAAACAAAAAACCAAAATATTTCAATAGCCAGAAAACTACTGTACTCAGAAATCAGAAGGATGCGTAATGAAGAACAATACTGATGATAAAAGGCAGAGAGCAGATAGTGGATGAAGAACCAAATTTAGATTGGAAAAGCTAATGAAATTGCAGGAGGTCCTCCTAAGGTATTCAGAAGGAAGAAGGCACAGGGAGGTGTACAAAGGAGTATAATATCCATGCTACAGAGGACATTAAGCAGCAGAAAACCATGTGGAGATTAACACCATAATTTTGGAATTTACACTGTGAAGAATGAACAAGAAGACTGGACGCAATGTTACCACAGTAAGTTACCACAGAAGAGGCAGGAAAACAGCACTGTGAAAAAGTAGATTTGTGCTTCTGAAGACAGAGAGGAAACAAAGGATTACTTTTTGTATATAGATCCTTTCTATCTGGGATCAGAAAAATCTGGCTACTGATGCAGCACATTATCCAAATGAAAAAAAATGCATGAGAGAGGGAGCTACAAGTATTCAAAATTAAAAAGTCTATGTAGAGGGACAATAATGATTACCTACAACCTGGAGATGAATTGGGTATTACTCAAGGCAAAAGTGAGGGCAAGCAGGGGAAAGCCTAAGCTGAAAGAGCAAAGCTTCAGGCAATCACCACAAATCTCTTGTGAGGCAGCTCAGCTACGAGAATGAGGGAGGTTCTCACAGGAGGGACAACAAATATTCAAAAAGCAAAAATAAAAAAAAAAAAACAAACCTGCTCACTTTATTATTTCAATTTATAATGGCTTTAAATATTAATGTAATATATTGCATTAAGGAAGTAAACAGCTTTAACTTAATTTTATGAAGTTGAAGCTGTGTTTGTCCATTTGATTTGCTTAGAGATGTTTTAGTACAAATCACTTCCAAAGCCCTTATATTGTTTCTGGGAAAATGAAGTATATTGCTTTTCACGTCCGATTTTCTAGCTTTGCCCTTCCCCAATATGTACTGAGGTACAAAAATTTTGGTCTGATCTCAGTAAGCTGTAAAGTAGTTGAAACTACAAATGACCTCATTTTACTACATTAAAACCAACTCTTTTGTTTACAGCTCTGCTCTCTATTTTGATACCTCTGACACAACTCTTTCTTCTCCTTTGTCAAGAAGAATTCTTAATCATTTTCATCTCAAAACATTTTTTTTTCATTTAAAGAGGATTAAGGTCAAGAAGTATTTTTCATCATTACCTACATACGACCCTTTTCTAGATTGCATATTATTGACCTTAAGAACAGAATGACATTTCACATAAATACGAAACTGTACAAACAAAATATATCCTCCTAAGCTGATTCTCAGTATCTATCTTAGCCTCTGTTTTTCAATGATTTCAGAAAGATAAAAATATTTATTGCTGCTATCATCTACAGGAAGCCACAAAACCTTGCCTGTGACATCGTTGCTTGTTCCAGAAATAATTCACACAGCAAATAAGGCTACACAGTATAGAAAAGCCTCAACAAGGACACCCAAAAATATTTGTGTGCACCATAAACTAAGTTAAGTTAGAGTTTTACAAGAAATATATTTCAAATAGCTTAAAGCATTTAAGGTAAGAAATTTAGTCAATTATAAAACACTCTTTAAAGTGTTTTCTCTAAAACACACTAGTGTATTTTCAAATTACTGCTATTCTAGTTCATACATGCCATCAGAATGAGTTTTTTAAAAGTATTCTGCACATAGCCTGTACAATTTATACAGCATCTACCTGTATTGTCAATAAAATTAGGAATTAAAAAAATTATTTTCCATAATATATTTCTATAATGCAACTATTTAGGACTTGGAATTAAGACGCTAGCAGGCTGTTCTTCAGTTTCATAAAGATTCTTTCTTATAGTTTACTCATTGCTTCAGACAAAACATACATATACAGTGTTCCTGTATTTTCTGTGGAATATTCTGAGGAAATATTCTTCATCTGCTCATGCTTACCGAATTCATTCCACTGAACAGGTCTCCTGATCCTACATGAGCTGTGTGAACAAAGTTCGTTGGCTCCCCAATCATGCTTCGGTCAATCCGCCGTCGTCTTTTCTGAAAGAAAGGTAAAGAAACCATCTAACTGAGAGTCACTGAAAAGGCAAAAAACAAAGTGTGTCATAAATGTAAAAGTTAACTTTCCATTGGATATTTCATACACTGAAGATATTTTCATAGAGTCAAAAAGCAGAGTCCAAATTCCCAGGTTAACCAAGACATTGGTAATTGTCCTTTGTTTTCTCTTGGAGGATCTATAGCAGATCATTAGACCAGCACTGATACCACTCCTAACATTTAGGCCAACAAAACATTTGTAAATAATCTTACTACATTCCACCATTTATTAAGCAATATTTGCAACATTTCACACACTAACTTCTGCCTACATTTGTATTTAAATCATGATGTGACAGATCAAATTTGAGGTTTAGTCATTCAAAAAGAATTAAAGATCAAAGACTATTAGTATAGTCTATGAAACCACTAACTTACAGAATTTCTGATTTGCATGCCATGGGAACTTATGTCACTATTTGTAATATACTTTGTGGTGATGTTCAGAACAATGCCTTGAGTTTGATCAGGGTTAGTCACAGACATCTCTTTACTGAACCCCGTATACTCAGGTAACTTCCAGTCTGCGTGGCTGTAGAGTGTGATCTGAAGGGGTGCAAGTGTGATAGTAAGGGAGGATGCCAGATTAGGGACTCCCAATTCCCATGCTTTGAGACAGAAGGCACAGATTGCTTAACCTCTGCCTCCCCTTTCTCAGAGTCACAGCCCCATTTTTTATTAATGTAATAACACACAGATGAAAAAGTGGAGGCAGTAAGGACTTCCTCTAATTAAAGCTGCTTTGTGTGCCTCCCTCTAGCTAAGTGTTGCATCTAAAGAAATAAAACAAGAAAACCCTATCCTCATTTCTCAGGCCAGAGCCAGGGAGCTTACACAGAGCAAACCACGCAGTGTGCAGTCACTGTATGCCTGTATCCTGTATTTAAAAAAACAAAACAAAAAACAACAAAAAACTCCTACCCACAATAGCCATGAAGCATAGTATGAATATCTCAGTTTAAGGTGTGTCATACAAAATACAGTGTAATAGCTAAGAAACTACTTGAGCTTGATTAAAAGCTTCCCATCATCTTAAAGTCCACTCAGTCTCATTTCTAGAGGTATCTCCTTTAAAGATATCTCTAATCTGCAATGAGATTGTAAAACCACCCAGACTCGAGACATGAAGGTACATGCCTCACCAGTGGGCTAGCTGCAATTGAAACACAGCTACAGATTAGATCTTTATGAATCAGAGCCCACAACTATGAGAATACATCATGGGGTTTAGCCAGCAAGTACAAAAGACATTTAATAATTTCCTGTACATTTTCCCTATTACTAAAACCAGATTTCAGTAGGTTTCAGTACCTTACTGCATCGCATTAATAGCTGGGGTGAGAAGAAACACATAAAACACTCCCAAAGAAATAGCCAAACAAAATGATCTGATCTATGCCAAAACTGTTAGTAAATTTTCTACTCCCAACAAATTTGACAAGATCACCTAAATAAAATAATCACAGCTACAAAAACTTCTTCATGTAGTTTGAGAGCTTTCACAGAGAAAATATTTATGGAAATTAACTGAGGTATCTCAATTACAGAAAACATTAGTAGAGTTCATAGACCCATAAACAGTCACAATATAATCTATTACCATGTTCCACCAATGCATTAATGTTTCAATCTGGAAGTCAGGCTCAATTATACATGCAGCAAATGATTTCTTAATTTATGCATGGTATCAGGTAGTAAAGCATACGTAATTAACTTGCAGGGAGAGACCCCACACCAGATTTATGCTTCCACTGGATGACAGTTGCTCATCTGACATGTTCAGGACAAGGAGCATCTCTCACACACCAGGTGTCATAGTTATTTTAAATGCACATTGTTGTATTTACACAATATAGTATCATAATATGCTGTGACTCGGACAAAGAAAGAAGCTCTAGAGAGCTGTATGAAACACACCGCTACAGTTAAAACACTTAAAATTGTTTCAGGTCTGCAGTAGTTCATGAAAAAAAATAATGGCCAGAATAAAATTCATTTAGATGTCTAAACAACACACCCACGATTTCTTGGTTTTAGTAGAGTTTTGAAATTGTACGGTTTTGATGCAGAGAAAATGTAGACAATCTCAAAGCTTTCGAATTTTTTGTTTATCTGTTTTGTGAACAATCAAACTCTTTCTTTGGGCAACTCAACTTATTTTCCTCCTTTACTTATTGCTAAGATCACTGTCATGCCTGTAACAAAATTAGAGCGCTGGCTCTTGTGAGGCTCTTGTGAGTGACTTCAAATGATTCTTCACTAATCATCAGTTAGTCAAACAGTAACCACTAGTTAAAGTGAATCCCCATCAAACCCTGTTTCTTATCTTAAATGAATTTCTTATCAGAGGCCATCAGCCAGTTATGCCCTGGCATGTGCCCACTGATGTAATCTCCTTGAGGCAATGGAACAGTATTTAAATGCTCTGCTATATTAAGACCACAAAGTAGTTCACTCTGAAAGCAAATCAAACAATTTTTTTTCCTGCAGGAGCACTCAGTTTGCTTTTACATTAGTGTTTTAGCTCGTATAATGAGCATGCTTTTTAAGCAACTTTGCCAGTCCCTATTTACCATGCTTCAATTTTAGTTTCAGAGTAGTCTTGGAGTTAGACTTCTTTTGCATGAAGCTGAACTGGAAGATTAGCTGATGCACTCCCATTGCTAATGGTCATTGAGGCCAGTGGACAAGGTGAGCCAGTCTGAAGCAGATCACAAAAGACATCCAATGCACATCATGGCTCCCCAGCACCAACTCTTCTGCTCTACTACATAGCTGCTCCTACTAGGATGCACCATTTCCATAGACACAATCTCAGCTAGAACCAAAATGGCTCATTAGCATTAGTGAAATGACATGGGGAGAGCTGTAAAAAGTCACCTCTTTTTGAGGAATGTAACACAGGAGACAGGAGGACCATGCCTGGAAAGGTTACAAAGCTTTTACAGAGGACACCATAAACATTAGCTTTGCCAGGATTTTACTGTGACGTTGTATTTTCTGAGGCTCCATACCTATAAGAATACATGCAATACCATTGCTCTTTAAACAATAAGAATTAACACACAGATTGATTCTTCAGTAAATTTAGTATATTTAATTTGAAAGAAGCTAGGCAGCAGTACATTCATCTCTTACTTAAGAAGAAATGAATTGTACAATTATGCTCATTTCCCTCTGTGTATCACTTGTGTGTTTCCATGCTTGTTTCTAGTGCAAGAAGTCACATGCCTGAGCTGACAGAGCCCAGTGCAAATAAATCCCCACTAGCCTTCACCCATGCCCCAAACTCCGCTTGATAACATACTACAAATAATTAGCCTTAGAATATATATACACCACTAACCATTGTAGTAATGAGATCTGACCATAAAGGTAATCAATAAAACAACTGCATGTTTATGTTGCTAGTGCAAAGGACTTCAACATACATGCACCAGAGTATGTGTGTCACCTAAGGTGTGTTTTTAAAGATGTTTCTGACAGAACACATGTATGTCCCAATTCTGGCAGCCTAACTGCAGTGAGACCTGTCCTGTACCTATGTTTCTTAAGGATGTTTTCTTAGCTGGGGGGAAGCAGAAGAAAGCTCACATAATGATTACTGAACTTGTCTATTATCTTCTGTGTTAGTTTGGGTCAAGTTACTGAAACCTTTGGTATCAATGGGCAAAAAAGGTTTGAAATCTGAATTGTAGTATTTGACTTTCACACATACACTCCTTGCCTTGTCCCAAGGCACTTCCCCTTTACTAAAGGGAGGTGGGTGGGCAAGGAGCACAACAGAGGTGAGATGAGAGGAAAAAGACCTCTAAACAGATCATCAGGTCCCACCATCAACCCAACACCACCATGCCCACTAAACCATGTCCCAAAGTGCCACGTCTACATGTTTTTTGAAGACTTCCAGTGATGGTGACTCCACCACCTCCCTGGGCAGCCTGTTCCAATGCTTGACTACTCTCTCAGGAAAGAAATTTTTCGTAATATCCAGTCTAAACCTCTCCTGGCACAACTTGAGACCAATGTGAAATGAAATAGGAAATGTCATCATTTAATGGCTTTACTCAGTTTGTTCCCTTGACAAAAATCTGCAGAATTTGGGTTGCAAAGTACACACCACATAATCTTTATGCCACGAATAGAATAAATAATCTTTAAACAGAAGTAGAAGAGATGCAGGTTTGTGTGTTATATGTTTGAGAGGAATGGAAGCAGTCTGAGGACCCGTCTCAGAAGCTTTGCTTTGAACATGCACTAGACGCAATGAAACTGGATCACACTTCAGTAACCATAGTAATGAAAAAAAGAATCAATGTCTCTTCTGTTCTTAATCTGCGAGTGACACTTTGCTCCCACACAGGTTAGCATCTCTTTCGAAGTACAAGATCAGAATTCAGAAAGCCACCAACAGTTGTATCACACAGAAATTATTTTAACCCTAAAAGTTTCTTGAAACTTTTGGCAGTTTGTGTTTAAAAAAAATTAAACTAATAATACCATGTATTCAATCTGCCCTTCAGCAAAGCCACAATCATTTTACTGAAACACTGCTTTCATAGCTCAAGAAACTACTTATTGCAAAAGATTAAAAATTGTAATAAGTTTCTTTAAACACACAATTGCCACTGATGGGTCCAAAGGCATGCAAAATTTCCTTTTTATACCCCTCTATTTTTGGTTTGCAGGGACGAAGTGATCTTTTTTGACTATCTCCAAATTTTGCCCAGAGGCTGGGCTGCGCTTCTCTAGCTCAAGCCACTTCATAGTGATGACAACAGTTCTGAGTTAGACAAGTTGTCTGCCTGTATATATACATAATTAGAAAGAGGAAAGTTTTGGAAAATTTTTTCCTTTGCACCGTTATGCATCCCTTTCTGTCCTTCATGACAGGCCTTCTCTCAAAAAAAAAAAAAGAAAAAGGCATGCAGGGTAACATC